TCAGGGTTACACGTGTCATTGCTACTGTTCATCTGGGCAAGGCCATCAGCTGTGAAAGAACAGCACTAGAAAATCACTGGAACTTTCTTGAAAGGAGATTCAGCTTCATTTTTTTCTTAAAATGAGCAAAATCTTTCTGACAATTAGAACTTCTGTGTAGCTCTAACCTCATCAGAAGCCCCAACTCCAAGCCCAAATATGTGAGGCAGATGCCAGAGGCAGCATGCAGGCACATTTTGGATGACAGCTGAAAAGAAGCCCCATGATCATACTTACACGAGCCCTTTTGTTTCTCAGGTCTCTTGGAGTTAAGTAGTAAGGCAGGTGAGTGGCAAAGACACGGGGTGAAGGAAGAGACGTATAATCCATATTTTTAACATTGTATTCCAGCCATGGCATTCTGTCCATGTTCTCTATGTTTTCTGTTCCATTCCTGTGGCCTTCATGAATTATTAAACTCAAAATATTCTGAGTCCACACAGTTCCTGAGAAGGAAAAATTTTATTTGGACCCTGTTTTTTTTTTTTTTCATTTCTTTCCTTCCTTATTCAAAGCTCGTGTACATGATCATAAATACAGCCTCTTCATAGACGTAAGTGAGATATAAGCACTCCTTAGCAGATCAAAGAGAGCAAACACTGTCAGGATCACTGCTGAGTGCAGAAGGGAAACATACTTTTGTCACTGCAGAAATGTCATGTTCTCTACCTGAACCTTCCGTTTCTTTATCCACTATATTCAGCTTCTACACAACATCAATGTGTCCTCAAGCCTTGCAGCAAATTGAATTCCTGTATCTCTGTGGACCCCAGATCTAAAACTCTCTCCTGATGAAGGGCTCTAGAAAATACATTTTCTGCCAGAAATCCTGCCAGCTGTTGAGGGATGTCATGAAACCAGCAGCTAGTAAAGGGATGTTTGTAAAGCACAGATGGGCCCCATAAAGCAGATGCTTGCAGCAACCAGATCCCTAGATTTGCTGAGGGAACACCTGACTCCTGGGCTATGGTGCCTAGCTGTGCTGGCAGTACAGGTTGTGTGCTGGGCACTGATAGTGCAGGGTGAATGCTGAATAGGTGACTCATCTGGTGAATGAGAAGAACCATTTAGCCTTTTGAAAAGTGCACTGTGTGGCGGTGCTGATTACTTCTCCCCTCTATACTACAGACCAGTAAAGATGGTCACCTGAGAGAATTTGAATCCATGCAGATGTCCTTGTGTAGAGTAAGTTTGCTTTGAGTGTATCTATAGGGCTGAAATCCAAGAATGAGGAAGGTTCAGACGGACATAAGCAGGAGACTCATGCCTGACTGATCGGGCCATGACTCTGTTGCATGTGTCTAAGAACATTAAATTATTCTGTGCCTGTTTCATTTTCTTTGCTTCCTTGGGTTTTTTTTTTTTTTTTTGGTGACAATTTTTTTCTCACCTGATTTTGGAAAAGTAACTATGAAAACATCGCTGTCTCTGATTTCAAATGTCTCCAGGGTATCTATGTACTCAGGTGTGGCTCCTTTTGTTGCAAAATAAACGCCTTTGTGGTTGAATACATAGTCTTTTGAGGGTTCCATTGTGTCTGTTACAAATAGGTATCCTGCAATAAGAAAGATAAAGATATACCTTTTTTTTCTTGTGCTGTTACCTTATAGAAACGGAAGAGGGAAGAAAAAAGAAAAAAAAAGATTCAATAACTCAAGCAATATATCTAGTGACAACATATTTCAACAAGATAAATTTCAGCATACTTCCTGGGGAAAAATGAGCAGAGATTTAGCTTTCAGATAGTCACAGGAACATCCATTCCATTTCCCATGAGGAAAAATATGAGCAGCATGACCTTTTACTCATTCACATCCCTAGGCTACATACATTTAAAAAGACAATTGTAACTGAAAGTAGCCTATGTAAATCCACTTGTCAAAGCTGCTTCTCAATCTAGGGGATCATAAAGATTTCTTTGGGACATCTATAACTCTTTGACAGAGCTAGTGTAACTACCACACATTCATTCCAAATCAGGTAATTGAAACCCTGTTTGAAATACTTTATTATTGTTAGTGTCCAACTATTCCCTTTCTCATTATCTATATTTCTCCCATAATAAGAAAGATTTCTGTAAATTGGAATGGATAAGCACAAGTATTCATGGGGTGTGTATCGCTTAAAAAAAAACAGAAAGAAAGAAAGAAAGAAAGAAAGAAAGAAAGAAAGAAAGAAAGAAAGAAAGAAAGAAAGAAAGAAAGAAAGAAAGAAGGAAAGAAGGAAAGAAGGAAAGAAGGAAAGAAGGAAAGAAGGAAAGAAGGAAAGAAGGAAAGAAGGAAAGAAAGAAAGAAAGAAAGAAAGAAAGAAAGAAAGAAAGGAAAGAAAGAAAGAAAGAAAGAAAGAAAGAAAGAAAGAAAGAAAGAAAGAAAGAAAGAAAGAAAGAAAGAAAGAAAGAAAGAAAGAAAGAAAGAAAGAAAGAAAGAAAATGTCTTCTGGTTTTTAAAGGCAGTTGTCTCCTACTAACACTGACTGTTACCACATATTTGCCGGAGGAAGACATTACTCATTACCATTGCGGTGAAGGAGGAAGATCAAACTGCTGGGGAAACACAGCTAGAGTAAAAGATAGCCTGAAGGTGACTATCGTAGCTCAGCAAGAGCCAAAGGGAGCCAATGATGGGTCAAAAGGTTAAGGTTTATTCTGATCCTAAGTCTTGGAGCAGAAAGACATAACAAGGGCATTTTCAGATTTGCCTTGTTTCATTTAAGTCAAAATATATTTTAAAAGAGATGTTTTTAACTGGAATTTTATTCAAGTTTCTCTCTCCTGCCTTTTCCCATTGCAGTGTATCAATGGTGGATCATGTTGTCCCCATGACTGCAGTGTTGATCATTACTCCACATGTGGATATCACCATTGTTCAGATTTGTTTGAAACCACTGCTTACACAAGACCTATCTGCCAAGCGATCTGAATTAAGGCGAGCAAGTAGTACTTGGAAATGAGGCCCCTGATTCAATCTGTTTGTTCTCACTTTTTTATCTCCAGGTTATGCTTTCAGAACTTTGCCTTTGCCTCCCTAGTCTGTGAAACCACCTGGAAGGAATGCATGCTGGCTTCCTCCTGCACACTGGCCAAACACGCTGGGCTGGCAGAGCTCCCATTGGAAACGCAAAGTTTGTCCTTGAGCAGGCCAAGGGACGCAACCTCTAGCTTGGGCGCAGCCAAGGGTCATTGGCACCATAATGGGGCTCAAGCAGAGACCATAAGGGGTTGTCGCCAGTTGCACAGCACTCTGAGAGTCAGGACAGGAGGAAGGGGTCAAGCATCCCACACTGCCCCCACGCATGAAGTTCTGACCACCCCCACACTCAGGGTGCAACCTTCGTGCAGATCCAGGGCTGCCTGCCCCTTCTCCGAGGAGAGGAGAGGGGCCAGGGCAGAACCAAGCCGCGCTGTCTCCATCACTGTGGCTGCCCTGGCCTCTTCCCGCCAGCGGTGGCCCCCAGTGCCTGAGGTTCCCATCACTGAGGTGGGATTTGCTGGGCACAGCTGGGGCTTTCTCCATTCTGGTGCTCCTGACTCAGAAGCAGCCCAGCCTGCGGACATGCGGAAGTGGAAGCGGGCGGCCCCACTCCAGGCAGAGCCAAAACGGGTTGAAAAGGGATCTCTCACAGGAGGCTCAGCAGCAGAGCCAAAGCAGGCACCAGGCAGCCTCCACCATGGGCAGAACTGTGGCCATGGGAGGATGCACAGATCTCCCTCAGGCCTGCTGTGTGGGCAAGCCTGTCTCAGACCCTGATGCCAAGAACTCCTCACAGACGCGATACCCGCAGCATGAGTTCACACCTACACCTCTGGTTTATGAGGGTGACCCAACTTAATTTCTCCTATTAAAACCCTTACTTAATATCATTAAATACCACCAACAAAAATCCTGACTCCAGGTGATGCACAAATCCAAACCTACTGCAATAATCCTGTGGGAACAGGCCCCTCATTGTCCCTATTTCCCACCTGGAATTACTATGAGATTCCTGGCTTCTATTTTACTCCCTTCCTCAGGGCAGGAGCCATGTTAGTCAAGCAAGGGCAGCAACGGCAGGTGCGGAGTGAAGGTCTACAGTTCCCAGCTCTCCTCACATTGTCCATTGTGGCCACTATACCTGGTGCAACTGCTTTTCTGGTGGATCAGTGCATGGTCACATAGAGTGATTTATTTTAAACCTTAATTTTTGTGTACCCCAATCTTCCAATAGAGCTGAGACAAAGAATTCTTGAAGACTTAAACTCCCAGAAAATGCAAAGACAAGGGAGTTTATGTTTGTGTCCGTCAATACAAAATTTATAAAATATAAAATTGCATTTGTTTCTGTCAATATAATATTAACAAAACACACCCCACATATATAATGAAACAGTATATCATACAATAGCTGCCTAGAAAGCCCATTCATGACTAGCATGTATGAAATTCTGTTGGGAGATTCAGATATGCCCTTCTTTGCCAGCTCAAGAACTCCTTCCGCCCAGCCCTGGGTCTGCAGGTGTACTGCTGAATCCACAGAGGCTGCACAATTTTGCTCTGCTTCTTTCTCTCTCTCTCACAACTATGACTCCAATTTCTTTGCTGAGTGATAGAAAAAACTACTTCTTCCCATACAGTGCTCTGATTTCCGTAACAGAATTAGAGATCCTGTCCTGTTCAGTCAGCCTAGAGGTCTACAGCATTTATACCTCTTTGTCCTCTCTACCTCTTTCTGACAGAAAATTTCAGACTATTTTACATAAAAGATCTGCATGCAATTACTCCTATTTTCCTGAAAGGAGAGTGTAGCATAATTTAACTCAGAGCTCTAACAATTTCAGATGTATTTACCTTCTGTGTGCCGCTCTTGTGCTGCCAGAGGTGGGTTCTGCCACTTTCCAGTTCAGGAGACAGGAATGAGTCCCGAGTCATTTGAGCAATCACATTTCCTCTGGAACCAAGCAGTGTACCCGCTGACACCAAGCTAGCTGGCTTTCTTTCAGGGCCTGCTTATCTTTAACCCACACAGAGATTAGAGAACTAATAAATAACCAATAGCCATGGAAAAAAAAAATGTATGCAGTCCTGAAATGAGTAAAATGTTCATTATAGTATTTGTTCTTCCAACAGCATCACTGAGGAGTATTGGAGAGGAAGAGAAGTGAAAAAAGTCTTTTGCTTTTTACTGAGAATATTTATGGATCAACTTTTGGTTAACTTCAGCCCCAAAAGATTTGATCTCCAGCTAAGGTTTTACAGTTGACCCTAAGAATCGTCTGAGCACATTATGAAGTAGTAGGTCAGAGTGGCCAAATCTGCTCTCAGTCAGGAGCATGGAATTTGCTTTGTCAGTTAAATCATATGTGTGCGTTCATGCCAAGTGTTTTCCTGTGTTGTCTAGGTGTCAAGTGTTTCTATAATTAAAATAAAATATTTATCACTGAAAAAAAATAGCCTGTTTCAATCTTAGATGTATCAGTTTCACATTTATCTCCTGTCTGAAGAGAGCCCTTAATCCTTGAATCTCTTTAGTGATGCCTTTTATAAGCTTGCATTCATAGCTTTTTTCCTATTTTCAAATACATCCTGCTCCCAGCACACACACCACTTCAGCTTTTTCCCTCAGAGCTGCTGATTTTCAACACAGTATTGCTCAGATCCCGCAGCAGATATGGGTGGGAGTAGGATCCCATTATACCCCATGTGAGCCCAAGTTTATCAAAACATGTTGGCATTTCAGCTCTCTTTGGCACTTTGGTCAAGAAAAGTGCCAAAAGTCCTAGTTTAGAGACAGCGTCTGGGTGAGAATGAATTAATGGAAACATTGTTCCTTGCTTAGCCTCCCCATTTTGAAACTCTTCTTCTTGGCGAGAGGTGTGGGGACCTTGCTGATTTTGGTCTTTAAAATCTTCACACACTTTCTCTGAAAATGCTCTCTGATTTCCAACCTGTTAAACCTTTTCAGCTGACAGACAGTCGCTGCATGCTGAATTGGAACAAGGATCTGAACATTTAGGAACGAGGACAAGACTCTTCAGCTTTTCACTGGTAAGCCTCGCACACTTGCAATGCTACTGACTGTCCATGTTAAAGCCTTGCTTCTGAAGATAGGAAGGAAAGAAGATTAAAGCCTTTATTGATGGTTTCTCTATCTTGAAATTTGCTTTATGGATTCTAGCTCCTTTAACCGTTCTTTGCCTGCAGAGGGTTCACATTTTTTGATGAAGCCATAAGAGTCTGTGGATTTTAAGGCTGATACAGCCATTAAGATGAGTTCAGATATCCCCTTCCTCTCTTATAAGGACATAAAAAGGGGAAGACACTGTGCTTAACCCATTTTATCTATTTTTAATTTGTTTACAGAACATTGTGCCAGACCTGCAGTGGAAGAGATGAGTGAGTCAGTCTGATTTGTAAATTGGAGAAATGGGAGAAAGTAAAAGGGGGACCCATGGATATAAATTAAGAACCAGCTAGTGACATCGGCAGAAAAGTTTTCTGTGGGACTCTCTTCCTTGCAGGATTGTTGCAACAGGCGATTCTATTCTTCATAGAATTTAAAGTCAAAATATTCTGACAGCACAGAGTCATGTGCAGAAAATAAAGGCACCCAAAAATATTCTATAATGCTTTTTCTTTTCTGTTTTTTGGGCAAAACACATCTCTTAACAGGTACGTCTTGTTCTGGTCAAGATTATATCTTGGAAAGTACATGTTTAAAGGTTAAAGGTGGTGAACTCTTGGGCTTCATGTGTGCAAAGAGAAAGCAGTGTGTTCAGATAAAGTGTGGTAGTGCTTCAGATCAGCTGTGAGCAGAAATTAACTTGCCTAATATCTGACAAGCATTATATCACCTACTGCCTTGGTGGGGAACACTTGCAAATAATTGTCTTTTTTTCCTCTAGTTCATCCTTATGCAGGCATTTATCCTTGTCCCTAGTGTTTGTGGAATGGTCACAGATACATGGCATATCTTCTGTTTAAGACATTTCAAAATACCCTTTGATTTAAGAGAGCCTGAAAAATATTGTGGTCTGGCCATGGGTCCGTGTTAGATGTTAGTGATGATCAGAGCTCAGTGAAGCTCTTGAGACAGTCCAAATGAAGGAGAGCACCACAAGGTAGTACTCTGCTCTCCACCAACCTAAAGGTAGAGCCTCAGTGAAAGAGGAAAGTATGGTCTAATCCTTAAGAATACATGGAATTCCGAAATCAATAGGTGACCACTCATTCTTCAGTAACTCATCTGATTCCTCCCTAATAAAAACTGATGAGAACATGTGGTAAGAGAACATCTAAAATGCAACGTTATTAATGTAATTTTTGCCAAGGAAGAGAAAAAATGATTTTTCCTTTTTATGTAAAGCTCAGCTGTATGATTTTGTGGGTTTGCAAGACCAGTCAACCTGATCTGAGATTACGTTTTTTTTACATTCCTTAATGCCTCTCTTTCTCCCTGCAGAAAAATATAATCAAGCTTTTTTTTTTTCACCATTACCTGCATGCTGATCACATCACAACGAAGGACATTTTGTTCCCCAGTTCTGAGTTGTGTTTTGTGAAGGATTGCTTTTTGACTTAGAGCAATAGTCCTCCAACTTGTAGAACAGATCAGTTGGGTGGGGCAGCAAAAGACTAAGCCAGAAAGGGGAGTTTGGTTTTTTTTTTTTTTTTTTTTTCAGCATTATTGAAAGCTTTTTGGTGACAGATAATGTGTGTTCTGTCTTTTCCCCTGTCATCCTTCCCTTTTGTATTTTATCATTCAATATTAATTTTGAATGGTATATAAATGTCATAAAGGCAGCATCTGATGATCCTAAAACTGGATTTTCTAGCCTCAGGTGCATTGCTCAGGGGAATCCAAAGAGGAACAAATATGGTCTCACATTGGCTTTTGCAATGCCAATCCACTGGCATTCAACATCGCTTCACCCAAAAGTCCTCCCAAAGACCAGCTATCTTTCATTGCACACCATAGAAAGGTTGGGTAGGAGGTATGGCAGCACCATTACTTTGCTATTTTCTGAGCATATATATAAGCATATAAGACATCACATGGAGCTCAGTAGGCAGACACCCCCATTTCTCTGTCGGTAAACAATGTGAGACCTATTTAAGTGTTTTGTGTAGCTCAGATGATGGTAATTTTTCTCAGTCACACCATTCACTTGTGATGTGTCATTTTGCCCTAGAAAACAAAAATCTATTAATGATCCACAGTATAATTAAGATTAGTATTTTTTTTTCATGACAGAAATTGCTGTGGAGTTATCTAAAATTTTTATTAAAAAATAAATATTAAAAAATATTAAAAATAAAGTAGAATTTAGAGTGTCAAGCCATTATAAGCAAGGAAATAGTGGTTTAAAGTCACTCAACCTTAATTCCTCTGCCCTTCATACATAGGGCCTGACTACATAATTGCCTGCCACTTTCCCCACTCAACCCCTGCCTTCTGCAGGACACACCCCTATCTGAAAAGAAAATAATCAGGGGTGTGACCATCACTTCCCTGGTCCTGCTGGCTACACTGTTCCTGATACAAGCCAAGCTGCTATTGGCCTTCTTGGCCACCTGGGCACACTGCTGGCTCATGTTCAGCTGGCTGTCGACCAGCACCCCCAGATCCTTTTCTAACACACAGCTCTCCAGGCACTCTGCTCCAAGCCTGTAGCGCTGCATGGGGTTGTTGTGACTGAAGTGCAGGACCCAGCCCTCGGCCTTGTTGAACCTCATACGGTTGGCCTCAGTCCATTGATCCAGCCTGGATCCAGAGGGATCCAGTTCGGGCCCCTCTGTAGAGCCTTCCTAGCCTCAAGCAGATTGCCTAGCATGAGGTCTTTAACCTCTCAGAAACACTGAACAGTTAAACAGCAGCAGTTAAAACTGATTAGAACTGTATCTTGAATTTATGAAACACTATAAAAATTTTATATAAGAATTTTAATATACCAGAACTTAATTTTATTGCACCCAAGATCACAACAGTGATTCTCATTCTAGAGGCCAAAAGACTTTTGAGCTGGACTGCAAGACAAGGAAAAATTCAGATGTTATTCCTTGAATATTTATGGCAGAAAATTGGAGACAGTTGAAAAACTGGTCGCTGGCCCTGGGAACCAAATGAAGGCAAGAGTTAATGCGCAACTTCGAGAACAATTTCAAATAGCTCACAGCAACCCTGCTTATGTGAAGAGATAAACCACCAGCTACTGAAGACTATTCAGGTCAGAGAGCCTCCTTCACGCAAAAGTATGAGGGAAGAGTGCCACTGCAAATATCAAAAATTCCCCCCCCCCAAAAAACATATATATACACACATATGTAAAATATGTATATCCTTTCCCTAAAATGTCAAAGGAGATAGAAAAAAAGTGGGAAGGGGGCGGGGGGAGGGCATGAAACTTGCTGACATGAAAAAGGAGGAGCCGTTTAGGATAAGCACTGAAGCTGAGAAGCACAACATGGATTAGCACTAGCCACCACCTTCATCCTCTGGGGAAAGCATGGACACTTTTGAAGGGCAATGGCAGCAACAAGGAAATGGTTGCAGAGGCTGGGAGGAGCCAAGACATTTTTATTTCCTCATGCTGTTGACAACAATCAGATATATTGGGTTAGTCTTTGTATTTTATTAAAGGATGGTCCCCAAAAAACAAACAAACTCATTAAGAATAGGCTTTTAAAAAAAAAATCCACATTTTAGTGAGTGTCTTAATTCTGTGCCCAAAGTGGGAGAATCTAAAGGACGTGCTGCAGAGTTAGGGGGAGGAATTGACAGCACTTGTAACATTTGATTCAGAGGCTGCAAAAGTTGTATGCAAGTAGTGAGGGAGGCAGGGCCTACCAGTCCAGAAGAGCATGCCCTCTTCAGGCACTCAGAAGAAGATGCAGGAATGTGCATTTAAGCACTGATTATTAATTGCACAGTTTATTTTTTCTTGTGTGCTCGGTGTGAACCAAGAGCACGAGCCAGGCAGAGACCAGTTCTTGCCTTCTAAGAAACAGGAAGGGAAAAGTTTGATTATCATTCAGTAAGATAGGCAGCCATGCTTGCAGACAAAAGGGAAAATAAGGAGAGCCCAGCAGAAAACATCTCACAATAGGTTAGTGAATACAGGTATTCTAGTATAAGGTCAACTGAAACAATTAAGTAATGCTGAAAGAATTGCCTACCTCCACTGATGATTTACAGCTCACATACAAGCCTAACACTGAACAACCTCATAACCACAAGCAGTTTTAAGTTCACAAGTAGCATATCTAGAAAAGACAGCTAATGGAAAAGAAGCTCAGGAATAAATTAGAATTGAATAATCCCTGCTGGAGCAGACCATATCATATGAAGTCACTGACTTGTTTTTATACTTAGAAAAAAGTAGCTGCAGGGTAAGTTATTAAGAGACAGCAGATATTTTCAAATCAAACTTTATATAAAATACAGCATTAGCCACAGAGGCTGTATAAATGTATTTACAGAGGTAAACTTGAGAAGTCACAGCAATAAAATAGTTTCACAGTATTTTTTCACACTGCTCTTGAAAGTTACCTGTAGTGCCTAGTTTGCTAGGGGAAGGTGAGTATTGTTTTTTTCATTTCGACAAGTATGAAAACATAATTAGATATTATTAGTAAGGTAATAAATCAGTTTAAGAATCTGAAGAGTTACAAATTCAGAAGGAGAGAAGTGTTTTATCTTGGTACTGAATATCAACACTACAGGGTTTACTCCAGTCTTATGCTTCTCCAGAGTCTCAATTGCTTGTTTAAAAATAAAAATAATTATGGTCCAACATTTTAATGTTTTGCATCTGGCAAATTCTAGATGGAGGTAGTAAAGGCATCCTTTAAGGAATCTTTTGCGATGTGAAGACCCGAGAAGCACGGCAGCGAGCCTAAAATGAAAAAAAAAATTGCTTTAGTGAGGTGAAAGTATCATTTTACACCATCAACTTGGAAAACATTTTAATAGACTTACCTTGTATGCAGGGTTATGTTTCATTTTAATTAACTATGGGCTTTCAAAGTAAAAAAGTATAATAGTTTGTTTAAAATTTAAGTATTAATCAAAAGGGGGAGCGGGGGAAGGCATACTTTTCTATTCACTGAGCTCTAAATTTTAATCTTTTCACCAGCAGAGGGAAGAGATTGTGTCAGAATGTTCTTCTGTTATTTCTGGCACGCTCAAAGGCCAAGAAGCATTTAGACAATGTCTCCTTTCAAAATACGTCTGTAAAATACACCTGAGTAGGTGAACTGGTCACCTGCTACTTCATAACTTAATTAAAGCAAGACATCTGGAAGACACCTTGGAATTAGAACATGGTTCCTCAGAATTTGTGTAGAAAAGAGGAAGCTTAAGAGAGAAAGTTATATCTGACACGCATGACAAAGAACTGTGAAGACTTTAAAGATATGATGGCCAACACGACTCATCTGGATAGGATTTATAAAATTTCAGCTGCTCAAACATATAGACTAAGTAGATAGGAGCTTTGAATATACGAAGTTCTAAGCACACTTAAAAATAATAATCTACTGGTTCTGGTACCCAAGCCAAGGAAAAAAAAAGAAAAAAAAAAAAGGAAAAAAAAAAAAAGCATGATTCAGACTCAGCATCTGTGTGTTTTGTTCTTCAGCTATCAAATGCTGATAAGTACCGTATAGCTTCACAAAGTCGCTCTTAAGAAACAAGCAAACAAACAAAAGCTTAATATACACATACAGAATGCTGTGAAGCTTCATAAAAGATTTAGGAGCTGTCAAATACATCAAGGTTTTTTGATCTTAAGGTTATTCTGTAATCACTCAACTAACAGAAAAAACAGACGGTGGAAGAGGGAGGGGATTGAACATGCAAATTATTAACTGGGCAGTCACACATACACATTTTTGTATGAAAATAAAGAGATAGATGCTCTTAAATTTTGATCACTTTTTTTTATTATTAATACTTACAGCTTTCTCTTCCAGTGTGAGTACACCATCTACAGCAACTATCTGGTATTGCTTTTCTTTTAAACTACCCACAAGTCTTCGCAGCAGTTTCAGGCTAGTACCATCACTGCTTTGTTTTAACAGTTTTTGCATTTCTTGTGAAGAACATCCTGGATCAAATAGTAGTAAACATAATGTTCTATTCTTCCTCTCTTCTATTCCAACAACAGTACGACTATGACCTAATTTGAAAACAAAAACAACAACAACAAAAAAACGCTTTCTTTTAACGAGCTATCTGCTTTCAGATCAAGCAAAATATTTGTTGAAAATTAAGCAAGTATTCATTAAGAGCGAGCAGGCATCAAGTTGTTCAGACCCCCATCATACCCAACATTTCCATTCAGTAAAAACACTTGGTTTTGTTTTTATTTAGTAAGAGTAACAAAAGCTATACATACTCAGGATTGCAACACATATAAAGAAACACAGAAAACACTAATAAGTGAATAAATGTGATGCTGACCTTGGTGCTGCAGGTAGATAGGTGGTCTGGAAGTGCACACTACCTTTGCACTGCCTTCATTATCTGCAGAATAGTAGTGCAAAATCCACTCAAGTAAGCGAGGGTGTGTCCCCATGGGACCGGTTGGTTTGTGAAAGTCCACGATTTGACACCTACAGAACATTTAAAAATGAAATCCCCATAGTAAAAGTTTAGCCAGGTCAGGCTGTTAAAAATCACAAGTGAACAAATGAAAAACAAACAGTACTTTTTCTTCTCTCCACCCCCATGCTTCTGTACCAAGAATGTTTTTATAGACACAGGAGTCACAGTAATTTAGTGGTGGTTGTCATTTTTTTTTAATATAGAAGTAAAGAACAAACATCATGACAAACTAATGTTATATGTATTGTTCAAAACTGGAAGACTTATTCGGTGACACAAGCAGTACTCTACTCAGCATAACGACAGCTCACAAAATTAATGAAAATGAAAGCTATTTTGATCTTTGCATAAGCAATATATGTATATCACAGAGCCCAATTAACAGCTTTCAGGATATGCAAGCAAACAGCTTAAACTCAGATTCTTATTAAGATTAAACTTTAAGAAAAAAATGAACTTAATCATTGCTTATCTTTACGCATATATGGACATTTTTTCACCAGGTTTAAACGCTGTAAGCAAGGATCAATTTATTATCTGTTTAATAGTTTTTTGCTGTTATTGACTAGACTTTTAACCTACTTACAAGCTGAGCAAGTAAGCAACTAGAGCAACTAAGCAGGCTTTTCATCATGCATTTCTGACATTATAGAGGTATATGCAGTGTCAGGGAAGAGAGAAAAAAAAAAACATGAAGAAAAACAGCTTACTTTATTCTGAGACTAGTTAAGAGTGAATAAATTTCACATGCTCCTATCCATGCCCTGGTGCCATGTAATCTGTTGTTGAAGTGAGATGCCCCATTAGGATCAAAGCCTTCTTTCCAGGCATCTTCAATCATGGACTGAATCTTTGGTATACTAGGTGTTAGCACAATACCTGAAACAGAAAACTTCTGCAGTGAGATTACAGTTACTGAAACAGTGTATTAATTATGAATATTCAGCCTGTTTTATAAGAGATAATTGACATCATCAAAAGATACAGCCCAAGCACTAAGCTACATCTTGCCTTGACAGTATTCACTCCTCAGATTCTTTCCATGACATGTTCTAATAGTACAGCAAGCATTTAATAGCTATTTTTGGCCTAGTAAGCTTTGGTGCTTTACCTTTTCACTTACACAATAGTTAAAAGCTTTATCATCTAAGGTACGTGTAACAGATAGGCTGTTCTGATTAATACCTCTCAAGCAGTCATCATATGAGCTGTTTTGCAACAGTGAGGAAAGGAGCATCTGGAAATTCCTGTAACCACAACCCCAGCCTTTGTCGCCCAGGGATGAGTGGAAATGATCTACTGATGCAGAGAGCCATACACGTCTTACATCTTTGTTTTCACTCTGATAGTACTTGCACAATGCTTCAATGACTCCTAGAAGATGACCAAAACCAAAGTTTATAGCAATTAAATGAATTAAAGAGTCTTTCAGAAATCAATTCTTTCCCAGCTTGAAATAGATTGAGACAATTCATGTTAAAATTTCTGACTGATCCTATATTAGATCTAGAGCATGAATCAGAAAGACACTCCACACTATATCTCTTTCAATCTTATGCTCTTTATCTTGATGTATCTATATCCTATGATGGATGTCAAGATTTCAAGCTATTTTTTCACTGCTGCTACACAGATGATATTTGAAATGAACAACTTTGGCTCTAAATTGTAACTTGCACAAGAGCTATTACTATGAAAAAGTACTATCAACAGTTAAGCACTTACTTCACCTGCACCTCCAATATAATATTCCTTACAAAGACAGAAGTACTTATGGATACTATGGAACCCTTCTGTTCCACTCCAAGTCACTACAGCCCAGGCCTAAAAATTATCCTCTTAGTTGCATAACTTCAACAATTTACCTGAAGTCTTTGTTTTCCCATCATCTATACCAAAAGCCAAAGATTCCATCATGTCAGCTTTTCTTTTGTGATATTCAAAAGGCTGCATTCTTCCTCTGTCAACTTCCCTTTCCATATTCTTTACCAATTGCTGCCTGTAACCTCCAGAATTATCCAAGCCATACAGTCTCTGTTAGGAATGGAACGTACATTATTTAGATTACATTTGTTTTTAATCTATATTCAATATAGAATGTAAAGTTGTGTATGTAAGCTACATACACAATCTGTAATGTGGAAAAAAGTAAAGAGTGAGAAAAATACCTCAATTCATGAGATTTTAAAGGCCAAACTCTACTGCCGATGAGGACTGCAAGTCTAGGACACTAGGAGAGCTACCTCTGGAAGAGCAGACATCTCTCTCTGTCCTCTTTTGGGCAGAGGGCCACTGGCACAGAGGTAATCAATGGCCAGGAGTTAGGAAGAGAGGGTGGTGAAGATATCAGAGCTGCATGGTGGGAGGGAGATGGACATCAGGAGCTAGCAGGGCGGGTCTGGGAACAAGCATGTACCAAAGCAGGCAATTTCTCCAGGAAGAGCCACTCAGTGACTCAGGGAATACACTCCAGGCTGCCCTGCAAGGCAGGGCAGTAGAGCTGGAGACACTGAAGGGCAGTGCAGCATGCACAGGAGTCCTGCAGTGCCTCATCCTGGGCCACATGAATAGAGTGAAGCAGCTCAAGGCAAGCTCCAGGTGCCTGCCTGGCACCAATGCCAGGACTAGGGTGGCTTAGGACTTGTACCTGCCTTCAGCCCCCTCCCACCCCTCTGTCTCAGTCCAGCCTGGCTGACTGTGCAGGTCTGACCTGCTACAGCTATTCTTATTTTCGAGAAGCAAAACACTACAGCTGCTACTACATAGCTTATACATTGCACAATTCTTTCAAATTTTCTTGTTTAGAAGTATTACTGTACCTGTAGCTTGTTAAATTCTTCCTTCTCTCGCCTTTCCTCTTCTGACCTTTGCTGTTTATCTTCTTCGATCTGGAGCTGCTGAGCCAGTTCTAGATCTCTTAAGTTTCCACCTACCCAGGAATAATTTTACAGAGAGAAGACTAGATCAGCAGGTTAACAATGCTTTGAATAATAATTTGTTTGACCTTTAAGAATGCTTCTATAAGTAGACACACATAAGAACACCTATGCATTAATTTTAGAAGAGGTACCCCATACCATATTGAGATACTAGCAAAGAACGCTAGGTAACCCCAATGACATTCAGCCCCCTAAACCTCAGCCTCCCAATTAGAGAAAGATTATGCAGGATTAAAGGATAGTTACTTGGCAAATAAGGCATGCAACTTCATGACTAAGAAAACACTTGTGTTTACTACTTTTCACCTGATACATTGGCAAGAAGTCCCAGTTTACCAAGTATCCCAGACAGCTTCTAGAATCATTGCTAGCAAACGCATAATGATGAAGCAACACAGACAAATTTAGGGTCAGAGAACTGGATGGGAAACCCATAGGAAGGAAACCGTGCTTAAAAAAGCAAATTTATTTTGAGTCTTTTCCCTTATCACTATAGCTAATTAACCAGCACAAGCATTTAGAGAAGAGAATTGAGAATAAATTAGAAATTTTAATAAGCTGTTACTTTTAAACTCATGTTACACTAAGATGTGCCAATCTGAGATCCACGTATGTAAACTTTCTATAGAGTTGAAAAAGTCTTTCAACATTTCCCCCCACCACCACTAGGGTTTATTTTGCTCATGATATTGTTCATTTATTTTATAAGCATGCACACACAGATACTTCTTTTAGCATGCATTATTAAGCAAAGCGCACAACCACATGATAAAATTTGCTACTGACTATATTAACTTTATCAGAGAGGTTTTTTTTTTTTTGTAATAATGAAATATATAGCTGAACTTTTGCCAGCGATTCTATATTACAACAAGCAAATAGTTTAAAATACTTTCAAATACTATCAAGCTTGCATCCACCAAGGTACCTTCTGAAAAGCTTTGTTCCTCTAAGTGTAGATCCACATGTTCTTGGAGAATCTGAACATTTGTACAGGTAAGACTGCATATTGGACACTCATAGAGCTGTTCACCACTTCCTGTGTTTGAAAAAGAATTTTGGTTCCATGCTTAATTAGTTTTCATGCTTTCTAAAGAATCATCCCTTTTGTTGCTGTACAAAGCCTCATATACCCAGTGATGAATTATGTACCACCAAATTTCCCAGGGAAAGGCAGCAAACCCCAAAACAGCTCTCTTAATTCTTTTAATCTAGAGAAACATATATTTAATTAAGGATTCATATTTAAGAATTCATATTTAAAGGCCCCACAAGTTCATCAGAAGATATTTACCATCTTTCCACTAATCAAGCTGTGACCCATTTAACTTAAGATCACTATTTTCTGTAATAACACTTGCAGTAGAGGTACTTAGTCTGAAATAGCAGAACTTTAATAAAAAATCTATTCCATACACCTTTCTAAAGGAGGAATGCTTCCTTGCAATCCTTTAACATTTATTTGATAATGCAGCAGTTGGTGTATTGAATACAGATAGAAGTAAAA